TAATATATTTAGGACAGGATCTATAGGGTCTCACTATGTAGATCGGACTACTACTCATAGTCCCATCTACTCATTTTCAGCCTCCCAAGCACTATCAGACTTGCAGTGATTCTCCTGTTTTCAGCCTCCCAAGCCCTGGGATTACAGAGGGGCACCACCACGCCCAGTTTTAATTGCTGTCTCAGCATGCCCTGGAGACAGTCGAACCCAGGCTGCTGTGCTCTGCCTAAGCAGGGGCTTTAGTCCACCGAGCTATCTGACTGGCCCAGTGCTGGGGATTAAAACTAAGGCCCACTGGGCAAGTGCTCTACCATTAAGCTACATCCCCTGTCATTCCCTTTCTTTCTTTCTTTTTTTTCTTTTGCAGGGATTGAACTCAGGTCCTTACCCTTGCCAGGCAAGTGCTTATTCTACTGAGCTATCTCCCTGGCCCCTCATTCCCTTTCTTATTTTGAAATGGGGGCTCCCTAAATCGCTCAGGCTAACCTCAAACTTGCCATTTCCTGCCTCAACCTTCTGAGTAACTAGAACTGGGGCCAGGGAGATGGTTCAGTGGAATAAGTGCTTGCCTGGCAAGTGCAAGGGCCTGAGTTCAATCCCTGGTTCCACCAGAAAAAAAAAAAAAGGAGACTGAGTAGCTAGAATTACAGGCAGGTACCACAGCACCCAGCTTCTAGAGCTTTCTTCCTAGCAGGAGAAGAAAATTTAAATAAAAACTTCAATTCTCTGGCTGGTCAGATAGCTCAGCAGACTAAAGCGCCTGCCTAAGTAGGTGCTGGGACCAGGGTTCAATCCATGGCATGCCGTGCCAGCCCCACCCCTGGGGCGCACTGAGATGGCAATTGAGACTGGGCATGGTGGTGCCCACCTGTCATCCCAGCGCGTGGGAGGTTGAAAGCAAGAGGATCATTACAAGTTCGATCTTTGCAGTGAGATCCTGTAGACCCTATACTAAATGCATTTTTTAAAAAAATGTACCCTGGGGCTGGAGAGATGGCTCAGTGGTCTAAAGCACCTACTTGGAACAAGATCCGCAAAGCACAGGGACCGCGGTTCGATCCTCCAGCACCACATGCCAGCCAGCCCCGCCCCCTGGTGGGCTGAGCTGGCCACACACACACAATAAATAAATGTTAAAAAAGTAAAAATAAAAAAAAAAAAAATAAGGGGCTGGAGAGATGGCTCAGTGGTCTAAAGCACCTACTTGGAACAAGCTTGGCAAGGCACAGGGACTGCGGTTCAATCCTCCAGCACCACATGCCAGCCAGCCCCGCCCCCTGGTGGGCTGAGCTGGCCACACACACACACACACACACACACACACACACACACACAATAAATGTTAAAATTAAAAAAAAAAATGTACCAATCAAGAGGGCCGGGGAGATGGCTCAGTGGAATAAGTGTTTCCCTGGCAAACACAAGGGCCTGAGTTATATCCCTGGTTCCACAAAAAAAAAAAAAAAAAGTACCAAAAAACCCCTCAGTTCTGTCACTTGGGGGCAAAAAGCAAATCCACCAGCATAAATTTAAGGGGTCTCCACCCCCATGTCAATCTGAAGGAAGACTGTTACAAGGCTGTTAGGCACAGGTGCTGTACCAGGCCTATGGCATCCACTTCTCCAGGTTTCAGGAAAGGAGGCATCTTTTAAGTCCCCCTCTGGGGAAGAAGAGGTTATAAACGGGTTGCTTTTGAGGGTCCCTTCAGGGATAAGCCCTAGAATAGATACAACAGAAACCACTGTACCTCCTGCTTCTCTACCTCCCCACCCCCTCCCAACACAGATGCTGTCTGTCAGGCTTAGGCAACAGACGATCCGGGGGTCCATCTGTGCTAATATACTCACAATAGAGTCCCATGTTTTCCCACTGACACCCCCTCAGCCCCTCAACTGAAACCACTTGGTGGCCCAAGGGGAAAGTGGGAGTTGGGGAAGGAAGGCACTAAGGGAGCCACCCCTGCCCCCATCCAACAAGCCTCCTGCCATCTGGCTTGTACAGTCACAGAGAGCTGGAGAAGTGCCCCCTCCCACCCACATCTCCTGGGGAGCTGGGGGCCCCGGAGCCTGGGGGTGGCAGGAGACAGACACACAGTCCAGGAGGCGAGATCAAGAAGCCAGGAGATCAAGACAGACTGAGTGAGAAAGCCTTCCCTGACCTCCTGTAGTGGGATGGCCCCTGTCCCTCTCCATCCCCCATGCCACATGTCTGATACCCCACAGGTATAATACGCCACTGCCTACCAGACCAAGGGCCTCCCAGAGCCCAGTGATTAGCTAGTCCTGGCACAAAGCAGGACTGAAAAGTAGGATGAATGAAGAAGGAAGAAGCATCATGGGGTGGGAGTGAAGAATCAGATTGCAGCTCTGGCACTAGGCTGCTTGGTTTGAATCTCAGCTCTACCACTGAGAAACCTAGCCAGCTTGCCTACCTGCGGGGCCCCGTTTCCTCATTTGTAAGGTCCTATTCCATAGTGTTGTTATGAGGACCAAGTGGATCATATATGTATATATATGGAAAGGCCAACTACAAGCACGTGGTAGATGCTCATTAAGTGTCAGCTATACAGTATAACGTATCCAAGAAGACAGGGGGAGGGGACCGACAGGGACAGTGTCGTGCACTGTGTGGGGATGTGGAGTCCCCAGCTTGTGCTGGCAGCCTGTGGTGGCTAGCTGCTCTTTAGACATCACACGTGGCCTTCCACTTCCTCCTCTCACTTCTTATTTGGGCACCACTGACGACAGACTTCGCTGGGCCATCCCTGCCTCTCCAAGGCCTGGCAACCATGGCAACGAAGAGCCTGGGGGATGGTCCCTAAGACAGGGTCAGAGAACAGCTCAGCACCCACACTGCCTTGGGCCCACCCCCAATTCTGCGAGTGGAGTCAACGCCGCAGTAAAACTACGTCTGCTTGGAACGGGGGCTCTAGACTCCGGTGTCCGTAGCTGAGGGCAGGATTATCCTGCAGAGACCACTCCAGACCATCGAGGGGCCTACTCAAAATTAAGCCTTCTACTTTCAGGGTTTCACGTCTGCCCTTTGCTCAGACGCAGGGAAAGGCAGCTTCTTTCGGCTCTCGGGACAGCCTCAAGAAGAGGAAACCCCAGGTCCTCTCACTCCCAGAGGACTTCTGTACAGTCGCTTCAGGGCCATCAACTCCCTCCTGCCCTCACCCCAGGGATTGCAGCCCTTCCCCCTGCACAGCCCTACTGCGTCCGCCCCCTCCCCCAGTTTCTTGCAGTCCCCGCCCCCATCTCTTAATCTCCACCCCCAGGACCCCAAACTTCCTTACATGACCCTTTACTGTTCCTCTTCTCCATTAATCGCTAAAACCACCCACTCCCAAATTTCAAATCTCACAAGGCAACTCCCTTCGCAGACCCCCTCCAGGTATCACGCACACTCTGGCTCCGCCTCAGGGTGGCATCCCTCCTCCAGCTCCTCTAGCGCCTAGGATTGCTGAACCCAACCTGCAGGTGCTGAAGTTTCCCCAGCTTTGCTGGCGGTTGAACGCCAAGAGCCCGGGCTGTCGGAGCCAACCTCCCCCGGGGGCGGAGCCGGTAGCGTTGTGGGCGGGGCCACCGGCGGCCGCGCACCTCCCAGCTCTGGAGCCTATAAAAGGAGGCGACCTGCGGCCCACCCGGCTGGTTTCCAGCAGCCGTCGCCTGCGCTGCGGAGCGCAGTGAGCGCCGCCTCCTAGGGGCGCCCGGCGCCGGAGCCATGACCCTCCGCCGACTTAGGAAGCTGCAGCAGAAAGAGGAGGCGACTGCCGCCCCGGACCCTGCTGCCCGGGTTCCGGACTCGGAAGCCGCTCCAGCTCCGACCCCGGCCTCGGGTCCGCCGGCTGCAGCCGCCAACCCGGGACCCCCAGGGGACGAGCTTTACGCGGCGCTGGAGGACTATCACCCCGCCGAGCTGTACCGCGCTCTCGCCGTGTCCGGGGGCACCCTGCCCCGCCGGAAGGTGCGTCCCCCGATCTCTCCCATGCCCAGACCCGTTACCCTCCAGGGTCCCTTCCCGAGGGACCTGCTCAGACCCCCCCCCAGCTTTTCACTTTCGTGTCCACGGAGTCTCTCCGCCCCACCGCCCCAGCGCTGGCCTCGTCGGAGCCTCCTGGCCCTCACCTCCCCCCTCCCCTGCGGCCATCGTTGCTCTGGAGGCTGCGGCCCCCGCCACCCGCCTAGTCTCGGGGGCTCGCTCTCCGCTCCCCACGCACCGCCGCCCCGACTCCTCTCCTGCCTTGACACCTCTCCACCACCCCGTTTCTCCCACTCCACTATATGGCTTTCCATCCTCCCTGGCTCGCCTCCCCGTTTCTCGGTGTTTTGAACCCCCACGACCCCCTCCTCCTGTCCAGGCTTCTGTAGTTGGAGCAGGAGGGCACGGGATGAGATCCTGCTGCTCGTCCCGACAAGTTGCGAGTACTAAAGCCCAGGGCTGGAGAGGGCCAGCGGCCACCGGCGGGCGCTCTCACAGCGAGGAAGTGCGAGGGGCACCCCAACCTCGGAGAGCACCCTTCGAGGGTGCACCAATTCTTGGGCGTGGGACATCTGATGTGCGGGATGCAAGGGCACCACTGCCCGGATTCCGGTCAGGGTAGTTTCATGGTGCCTGAAGGGCAGAAAGGATTAGGGCCGCGCCCGACCTTAGGGTCACCCTCTCTTCTCAGGCTCTTCCTCTGGCCCAAAGGGACCTGAACGCTCAGAATGAGACGCGGGACTCAGGTTAAGGAGAGGACTAGTGGCCTTTCTCCACTCATCCCCCCTCCTCCCTTGGCCCTGGCTCCCCCACACACAATAAACAGCTTGTTGGGAATTTGCATTTTATGAAAATCGGGTTGAAAGACAAAGGGGTCTCTCTATGCTGCCCAATGTTCCCTCCCTGATCCACTTGGGAAGCGTCTCCACCCCTGAGGTTAATCTTCTGTTCTGGAGAAAGGGCCCCCCTCTCTTCCTTGCCTTGGGCAACTTGTGGGTTCCAGTGTGAACTGGAGCACACTCACCAGGGAAGGCCTGGGGCTGTTTTAGCTGGGAGGGAAAGGGCTGGGCCGGATGGAGCTTCCTCCTAGAACCAAAATTTTAAGGAAAGAGAGCAATTGCTTAAGTTTATCAAGGGCCCCAACGAGACTGGGATCTTTAGCTGTCACCTCTCCCACAAAAAGAACCCTAATTTTCTCTCCTTAAGTACACTGATGTTTATGGACAAGTTTGACAGCTAAAATTTCTTTGTCCCCAAAAGCAACAAAATATATGGCAGTGTGGAAAGACCCATCTGGCTGGGCACAGCTGGCTACCTGCAGCTGGAAGGCACAGCTAGTCCTTGAAACAGCCTGGACTATAGGAGACTTCATTGACTCTGCTACATTCACACTGGAATTGCCAGCTCTCCTGAGCTCTCCCAAGCCACGGTGGCTGAGAAATTAGCTGGAGAGACCCATGTGGTAGGGGATCCCTGGAGTGCCTCAGTGGGTGGACCCAGCTGCCCCCGACCTTGAATCCTACTGGAGAAGAGCCTTGCCTCAGCTTTTAGGGTCTAGAAGGGCTGAGTCCCCACACACACTCCCCTCTCCTCCCATATAGAGGCTCTTCTAAGGGTCACAACCCCCTCCCTCCTCAGCCTGGAAGCCAGCAGGGGCCTTAGTGGTTCACGTGTCTGGACTTAGGAGGCCGACTTGTGAGGTAAGCCTGGGAGCACTAGGAGCACTAGTGTAGTTGTACTCTGGAGACATTACGCCAACACCAAAACAGGTGAAAATTGGGAAAGCACAGGTAATAGCAGGTGAGGTGCTGTATCCAGAGCTGGAACCTAAGTGAGGTAGCTCACAGAGTGGGGCTTTCAGCATCTACTCAAGTACAGCCCCACTCACCTGGCTTTCTTTACTTCCCACCCAGGGCTCAGGATTCCGCTGGAAGAATCTCAGCCAGAGTCCTGAACAACAACGGTGAGTCACCAACATCCCCCATCCAGCCCCTGATACGTCCAAAAGAGTGAGGGCAGGGGGGTATGACAGCATCTCAGCCCTGCCTAGGGGAGCCACTCGCCCACCTGCTGGAGTGTGGGGCAGCTGGGGGTGTGGGCTGTGTGATGGGATGGCAAGGGAAGGAGGCAGGAACTTTGAGTCACTAGGTACTCCTCAACCCACCCATCATCCCTGCACTTACCCCTCCCTGGAGAGATCTGGATCCATGGGTGTTGAGGGTAGAGGAGTAGGCGAAGCCTGTGGAAAACATCCTATGCCAAGATTAAGAGTCTTCCCTGGCTGCCCAGCAAGCCCAGTGGGCCCAAGCTGTGCCCAGCTGCTTGGGAAAGGTGATCACTTGTCGGAAGGACCTGAGGTGTGGGTAGAAGTAGATTCTTAGCCCAGGACTACAGGGCCCATTTTCCCTTCACTGCTCATGTCCCATCCCATCCTGGTTTGTGCTTGGCTTCCTCCAGTGAGGGTCAGGCCTGTTTGACCTTTGAGCTGAGACTGTGTGTGTGTGTGTGTGTGTGTGTGTGTGTGTGTGTGTGTGTATTTGGTGGTAATCCTCTTTCTGCACCTTCCCAGCCAAGTGTGGGAATCACAGGTATGTGCCACCATGCCCATTTGTTTTGATATTTCTTTTTTTTTTTTTAACTTTGTAATTAACTTTATTTTTTTTTCAAAGTTTTATTGATAAACAGATAGCAATGAGACAGTTTCATATCTAATCGGAAGTACAGTTTCAACAAATAATACACTGCATATATTCTTCTCAGTGGTTAATTGCTGTACAAGAAGTGGACTTGTGATCCTACTTACAAACACCATTAGAACAAATCATTCTATTCATTAAGAGAATGCAACTATATATCTATCCTAACCACTTTGAATACACAGATACAAAATGGACATTCATCGGTATTGTTTTGATATTTCTATAGTGTTTCCAAAATAAAAGCAAAAGGCAATATATGACAGAGGCCTTATGGCGGCCACTTTTTTTTTTTTTTTTTTTTTTTGGTAGAACTGGGGCTTGAACTCAGGCCTTTGCGCTTGCCAGGGAAGCACTTATTCCACTGAGCCATCTCCCCAGCCCAAGAGAGGCCATATGGGGCATACCGAAAAAGCCGAAGATATTTGCCCCTAGCCCTTTGCAGTAAACATTCTTTGGCCCTTGCAGAAGCCCAGAAACACTGGGACAGACACAGAACTTCCAGGCCCCAGGCTCCTGCTCCAGCCTACACATTGGAGGAAAGGCCTGTCCTTCAAAGAGGAGCTGTGGCGGAAATGGAGGGGTGGTGTGAAACAGTGGAGGATGTCTGGCTCAGGTTGAGAGTTGAGAAGCCCAGTCTCAGGGATTTTCTGGGGCTCCAGACTTGACGGGCCTTAGGAGGCTGCTTTGTTGCTGCCTCTGGCTGGTGGGAAGGAAGGGGGTGGGGTAGGTAGAGGAAATGGCTCCCCCAGCCTGGAGGATCTGGAGCAGCTCCAGACCATTGTGTCCAGTGTAGGCCTTCAGTGCGGGAAGGGGCGGCCTCAGGCTCCCCTCCCCCAGCCCTCACATCTGGTGGGCTGGCTCCAACGCAGCTGGGAGGAGCAGCTGTGGTCTGCTCTGAGGCTGAGCCTCTTGCCTCGTGACTGGCTCCTGGGGGTGGGGTGTCCCTTTTCCAAAGCAGTGGAGAGTGCAGTATTGCTAGGAGGCTTTAGGCTGGGGTGGAATTTGGGGCCTTAGCTAGTCACTAAATTTGGGGCTCAGTGGAAGGTTGAGATGTATCTCACCTATTCCTCTGGGGACCAGCCTCTCTAGGTCCTCCCTTCTGCCAGTTTAGAGGCCACTTTAATTCTGTGCAGTTCTTCAAGGTCAGCTTCACTGGAGTTCAGGAAGGACATTCCAAATGTGTGTAATGAGAGAGGTGTCACTGAAGGCTGAGCCTTTCCTGGATCAGACTCCCTAATCCTTGAGGCTGGAGTTACAGGACTGTCACAGCCTTTAATCGTAATGGTTTTGACCCTCAATTCTCTTGCAGGAAAGTATTGACTTTGGAGAAGGAGGACAACCAGACTTTTGGCTTTGAGATCCAGGTAGGATAAGCTGAGGACAAGGTAGGGATGGTTGGGAGGTCAGTCTGAGGGAAGGATGGACCCACCTGCCCCCAGGCTGAGGGTCCCCTTGTTTGTTTCAGACTTATGGACTTCACCACCGAGAGGAGCAGCGTGTGGAGATGGTGACTTTTGTCTGCAGAGTTCATGAGTCCAGCCCTGCCCAGCTGGCTGGGCTCACACCAGGTGGGGCCTGGGCTCAGGACACAGGGCTCTGGGAAGGGGCTCTGCTGGTACTGGAGTAAGAAATCTCTCCTGAAGTTGCTTCTACTTCTTCTTACTTCGAGAAGGCTATAAAAATGATGGATGGAACTCAGCGTTCAGATCCAAGCAAATTTGCCATTTGCTATGTGGTTTTGCCTAGTCCCATGAGCACACTGGGGTCATAACACGTCCTCACATCACAACGCAGTGAGGGGCTGCCTGGGCACAGAGTCAGATGTTGCTCCTCTAGTGATTGGCTCCCTCCTGGCAATGTGGCAACCAAGCATGAGCCAGAACTGGGGAGAAGCAACAACCTACTGGGTCAGCTTGATTCTGGGGATACTTGTCCTCCCCCAACCTGGCTCAAGTATGGGGTACTCATGTTATCTCCTCTAACAAGAGAATCCTGCCTCTACCAGAATTGGGCAAGTGTGTAGTCCTCAGTTTCCAGGAATGTGCAGCCTGAGATGGATGGCATAAACGATTCCCTCTACTCTGTTCTCGTCCCGTTTTTTGTTTTGTTTCTTTGGGGTTTATTTAATTATTTTTTATGTATTTGATACAGGGTCTCACTATGCAGGTCAGACTCTAGTGATCCTCCTGTTTCAGCCTTCCCAGTGCTGGGGTTACAGGCCTGTACTTTATGCATCATGGCCAGAGGTGCCAGGGTTCAAACCTGGGTCCCTGAGCTTACCAAGCAGGCACTTAGACCACTGATCTATCTCCCCAGCCTTGGGTTTTTGTTTGTTTTGTTTTTTGAGACAGAGCCTTACTATGTAGCTCAGGATGGCCTCAAACTCTTGATGGTCCTCCTGTCTCAGCCTCCCAACTGCTGGGATTACAGATGTATGCCACCACACCTACGTCTGTCACCATTTTTGACCCTAGGCGTACTTCCATATTCTTTTAGCAGCTGCCCTAATATAGTACAACGTTACAGAGCAGTTTCTCATGCACTGTCCCTTCTGATCACCCCTACAGTAGCCACAGCAGGGATCCCTAATCCCTTTGCACAGATGAGAGGAGCCCTTAGAGATGCTGGCTTGGTCAGCAGTTCTACAGTGGCACCAGAATTGAAACTCAGGCCTTTTGTGCCTGGGGCTATGCCACTTGGCCCACCCCTTTCCTGGTCTACACAGGCATGGGCTAAACAGAAATAACCAACAGTACGGGCAGCTCAGGGGCCGGAGAGGGTTCAGTCTTTGAGGACAAAGCTTCCCAAGGGTGTGGTTTTATGGGAGGTTAACCTCTCTGAGGTCCTCAGCACCTAAGCTGAGCTAGGCCTGAACAAGCTGGTAGTTGTCACAGTGGGCAGGGAGGAATGGTTGGGAAAAGAGGTGTCCAGGAGGTCATCTGAAGAGCAGGGAAAAGGAATTTAAGGGTATTCCTTGGGATTATCACACCTCCCCTGGCCATGCCAAGAGGCTGGAATTCTTCCCTCATGCCCTGTAGCATAGTCTGACTCCTCTCTGCCTTGCAGGTGACACCATTGCCAGCGTCAATGGCCTGAATGTGGAAGGCATCCGGCATCGAGAGATCGTTGACATCATCAAGGCATCAGGCAACGTTCTCAGGTATGTCTGGGCTGAATACCTGAAGATTCCTGAGCTCAGTCCTTTGGTGTTTCCTGAGCCTCCAGGCTCACTCAGCCTTTGACTCCTCCATCCCTCAGACTGGAGACTCTGTATGGGACATCAATTCGGAAGGCAGAACTGGAGGCCCGACTGCAGTACCTGAAGGTAAGGCCCCAAGAGTATCTTCCTTTTCTTCCCAAGCCAGTGACCTGCAAGTCCCACTCTTCTATGGGTTATTCCTCTCTGTGAGTTCCCGTACCTTAAGAAGGCTAGTGCCAGATGTGATAGCACATGCTTGTAATCCCAGGACTCGGGAGAAAGAAAGAAAAGAGTGAGTTTGAGTCTTGCTTGGGTAACTTAGTGGGACACTGTCTCAATAAAATAAAAGAGAAAGCTTTGTCTTCTCTGATCCCTGTCTGTACCCATATCCTGCTGGTCTCTGCTAGCTCCTGACTGGGGACTGGGGGCGGGGGTGTCTTTACAGCAAACCCTGTATGAGAAGTGGGGCGAATACAGATCCCTAATGGTTCAGGAGCAGCGGCTGGTGCATGGTGAGTAATAGACCAGGGTACGATGGCCTCCTGCTCCCAGGTCAGTCCCTGGGTCTGTGTGTCCCCCTCAGAACTAGTGAGCTACTTCCTCCCCTCCCCCCAGCTTTTAAGGGTTTCCTAATACTACTTTGGGTACCATACTGCCCTAGGCTGAGCCACACACTTTCTTGGCAAGTCTCACAATGGCCCTCTGGAAAAAGTGTTAATCAGTTTCCAGGTGGATACACCAAAACTGGCCATTATTTTAATGTGTTCGTGCCCCTCATGTCCCAAGGGGTCCTCACAAGGATTTGAGTTTGTAGTTCGTCTTTCAGAGAGGTTGAGGCCACACAGATGGTCAGCAGAAAGAGCCTGGCTCTCTCATTGTGCCATATGGCCCGGGCCTCAGCGGTCTCCCTGTGTCTCCTGTCCCTGCAGGCCTGGTGGTGAAGGACCCCAGCATCTATGACACCCTGGAGTCCGTGCGCTCCTGCCTCTACGGGGCAGGCCTGCTCCCAGGCTCTCTGCCCTTTGGGCCTCTGCTGGCTGCGCCTGGGGGTCCTCGCGGGGGCGCCCAAAAAGCCCCGGGTAACACCGACGATGCTGTCTATCACACCTGCTTCTTTCGGGGCGCAGAGCCGCCCGCGTTGCTGCCGCCCCCGCTGCCTCCCGCGCGTCCCCCTGGCTCGGCCGAGGCTTTGCTGCCCGGGCCGCGAGCTGCGCTGACCCGCAGCGCCAGTGTGCGGTGCGCTCTGGGCTCCGGCGGGGGCTCCCCGGGCGCGCTCTGGACTGAAGCCCGCGAGCAGGCCCTGTGCGGCCCGGGCCTGCGCAAGACCAAGTACCGCAGCTTCCGCCGGCGGCTGCTCAAGTTCATCCCCGGACTCAACCGCTCCCTGGAAGAGGAGGAGAGCCAGCTGTAGGGGCGAGGTGGGCAGGGAGGTATTTATTTATTTATTCCTAGCAGCCAGTGCAAAGAGTGTGGGTGAGAGTGCCGACCCCGGACAGCAGGACCGCAGGGCCCCAGGAGCCCGGAGCAGCGGGAGAGGCTCCTGGCGGGCCCTTGCTGCCTACTTAGAATCCTTCTCTCCTGAACTAAGAGGCGCTGGGGCTGGGAGCCAACAGGCAGTCCGGGCTGGGAGTGGTCTGGGGGTCAAAGATGGGCGTGCTATCCTAGTCTGGGTCAGTAGTGCCTTGTGGGCGTCCCGGAACCCTGCACACCCAGGGTGGGGGGACCTGTCCCACGAAGCCCTCTTCCTCAGCTTTCCTAGCTCCTCCACCCTTAGGCCCGGGGAACATGGCAGACTGCTGGTCGTTCGTTCTCCACAGCCCACACAGCTCCGTTGGCCCCAAGGGGACAAGGTGCTGGGCCCCTCCCCCAGCCTTGACCCTTAAGGGCTTGGCTCCTCCCAGGGGCCTGCAACTAAATGGGTTCCTGCTGGGCGGGGTCCTGGGTTCTGTGCCCCTTGGGGAACAGGAATGGGCATGTTCAGGTAGGGTAGAGGCAGCACAGACTGCTCTGCCATTTTGCATTTGTTGCTTCTGAACCACAAAGTGTATAAAATTGACGGTTTTTTGCATCTGTGTCAGTGTGGTGACTGCCTGAGGGGGAGGACTGCGCTCGGGCAGGCTCTGACTGCACCCACAGGGCCCCTCCAACACACACATGCGCACACAATACTTCACGTCCTATTTTCTTGCAGCCCAAAGCCAGAGAAATCATCTGGGGGATTTTAACATACATGTACAGGCTAGAACTGAGGTCCCATTCCCTCTTCTGAACTTGGGCCTCTGGTTTAAGTGCATTTTCAGCCCCCTTCAAACATCCGCCACAGATGGGGCAAGGCTAGTCCTGTCTTTACCTATCTCATAATCCCTGTGTCAATGCCAGGGCCCCCTCTCTTCCTAGCACCTGCGGGCCCCCTTCTCAGATATAAATCACAGGCCAACTCACCCCTTTGTTCTGGACTAGAACTCAGTGGGAAACTACTCCAGGAATGAGAGCTTGCTCCTCTGTGGCCTGTGTGATCCTCCCTCCTCATCTTGTCCCCTGCTGTTCCCTTTGCTGGCCACACCTCCTCTGGGGTCCCTGCACTGTTCCACTGGTGGGAGTTCAGTGCATGGCTGTGCCTCCAAAAGCCTTTCCGTCCAGTCAGCACCCAGGCACCCTATTGGGCTGCATTTCCATCATCTGGAAGTCAACTGCTGAGCATTGTACTTGGTGCCCACTCTCCCCCTCCAGGACACATGGTCCCTGCGGCAAGCCATTGCCCTCTGTCTTACGTTTTATTTATTTATTTATTTATTTATGGAACCAGGGATTAAACTCAGGCCCGCACTTATTCTACTGAGCCATCTCCCTGGCCCTCTGTCTTATATTTTATTCAGGGCTGGGGATATAGTTCAGTAGCACAACACCTGTCTGGCAAGCACAAGGTCCTGAGTTCAATTCCCAGTACCAAAACAATTCATTCTGCCCAGTCCTAGCTCACAGTACAATGTGTGTCACCACGGTGATCCAGGGCAAGTAGCCTGCCCAGGCTCACACCACAAGCTAGCAGCAGAACTGACTTGGTGGTGTGTGGTGTGTCCAGAGCCAAACCAACACAAGGCCTGGCTTTCAGGAGAACTAAGTGGCTCCTCCAGCTGGGCCTCAGCAGTCAGGGCGGTATCTATTAAAAAAGAAAATGGCTCTGGTAGAGCAGTTTGCCTACCATGTGAAGTCCCTGTTGATTCCCAGCACTACAGAAAGGGACAAGTAACAAAAAAGGAAATCACACACAACCCCCTACTTAAACGCATAATGTCTCCCCTGGAATAAAAGTATTGTTCAATTTTACTTATAATCATACTGGTGTTGAATCCAGGGTCTTAACAGGCTAGGTAAGCCCTCTACCACTGAGCCACATCTCCAGCTCTTCCTTCAATTTTTACTTTGAGATAGGTTCTCATTAAATAGTGCAGTCTAGGCTCTGACTTTTGAACCTCCCTCCACAGCCTCTCCAGGAGCTGGGATGACAGGTGTGCATCACCTTACCCAGTGTTCAAGCTGTCTCGTGGCCTGTCCGTAATATCTTGCCCCTTTGAGCCAACTACAAAAAGAGGTCCCTTTCTTTGGGCAGACGGTAGCCACATAGGCCCAACGATTGGTGAAATGGTAGCCTGAGCATAGGACAACTCTGCTCAGGTGTCCTGCGCCTTCAAGGATATGGTCTCTCCCTCTCCCTTGAGCTCCAGTTCTTCCTCCTTCCAAATCCTGCCTTGTATTTAGGCCACACGGCTCTTGCTGTTCTACTCTTGAGTGCACTCCAGCCCCTGACCTCACCCGGACTGCTCCCTCCTATGCTGCTTTTCCAGACCAATTCTTCATCCTCAGGTGTCCACATCACACCCTCCAAAGAGGTTGCCCTGATCTGATCTGGTCTGATCTGCTGCTGCTCTCTCCATTGTATTTGATCTCTAGACTCATTCTCTCTTCCTTATAGTGTCACACACACACACACACACACACACACACACACACACACGGTGTTAGTTATACTGACTGCTTGTAGCTGCCTTTGGGTGTCACACACACACACACACACACACACACACACGGTGTTAGTTATACTGACTGCTTGTAGCTGCCTTTGGGAGGGTAGGATCCCAACCTTGTTGCTGACACAGCCTGCTGAGGAAGGTGCTCAGTAAACCCCTCTGGGGCTGGGTGGTGGCTCCAGCAGGAGCACCTCCATCTGCTCCCCTGAGGACACTGTTGAAGAAAGGAAGCCTCCCCAGGCTCTGTTTGAACAGCTGCTCTGCAGTGAAAACAAACATCCCTCTCTGGGGCCCAGGTCTAGGGGAAGGGCCCTCTTACACCTTTGTTCCCAAGACCCAGAGCTGCCAGGGGACCTGCTGCCTGGGTACAGCTGGTACCTGTCTTTCTCCAACCCTGGTAGGCTCCCAGCTGGTCTCCCATTAGCCTGTCTCTGCCCTTGCCACGCAGCGGGTCTTGGGAGTGATGTCCATACCCCTCACTCAGGCTGAGGGAGGGGGCTCCTGGCTGGCCATGTACAACCAGGGGAGGAGGGGTGGTTCAGGGCGGGGCAGATCCCACCTCGCAGCTGATGAGATGACGGCACCAGCACAGCAGCCTCCTGCCGTGTAGGTGGGTGACAGGGAGTGACTAATGTGCGAGCTGCGATGCTAAAAATTAACCCAGGGATTGTGTTTGGTGGAGGGGGTGGGGGTGGATGGAAAGGGAGCAGGGACTCGGAATACTGTGTGGTCGGTATTCCCCTGCACTGCTGCCTCCTTTCCCACCTCCCCACCAGTCTTCTGCTGTCAAGGCCTCAGGGGACTCTGGGGAACTTCTTCCACTCCAGGCCAGAAGGGCCCCAGCAACCCCAGAGGCAGAGAGCGCACTCTGCAGGGTAGGCAGAGGGCAAGGCTCTGCACAGGAGAATCCAGTCTGAGCCCTGCAGTGTCCCTGTCCTGCCCTTTCCTCCTGGGCCAAGGGCAATGGGGGAAGCCAAGGCAGCCAACGCACAGAGAAGGGGGTAGATTCCCATCATCTGGCTGGGGTCAGGGTGGTGAGGGTGGCAGCTGCACAGAAGAAGAGGATTGGACGTTGTCTAGAGCTCTTGCAGTTCCCGGCGCTGTGCTTATCACAGCTACATCCCTGCTTCACCTGAGCCTCAGATCTGACAGCTGGGTATCACTTCCCACTTTACAGATGATAAACTGAGCATTAGAGAGGTTGAGGTTGCAGGACTGATACTGGCAGAGACAGGATTTTTTTTGTTTCTCTAGAGCCTTGAGTAGGGCAAGGGAATGCTTCCTGCAGGAAGCTGCACTAGACAGGGTCACAGAGATGGCGAGGAATGCGCAGAACATGTACAGTTATGGGATTCCTTGTGGAAGAAGGCTGGGTCAAGGAAGGCATATGAAAGGGGGGACCTGAAAGAGCAGGGCCTGAAACTATGTCAGATCCCAAAAGATCAGGTCCAAGGGACCAAAGTTCCAGGGATGAGCCAGGTGTGGTGGCACATGTCTGTAACCCCAGCACTTCAGAGGCTGAGGCAGGAGGATCACTTGAGTTTGAAGCCGTCAGCCTGACCTGCTTAGGGAGATGCTGTCTCAAAAAGTTCCAGGGACATGGGTTATATCTGGAGTGAGGTGAGAACATTCTCATCAAAGCAGAGGAGAGGGTAGGGCTCTGAGGACTGGTTTTGGATGTCACAAAAGGGCTTTAGGAGTGACCTCATGAATACCAGCATCTTCCCTGGAGACCAGAGAACCTGAGCTAGACGGTGGTAACAGACAAGATGTGAGACAGCAGAAAGCACTTTCCGCTCCAGTCACTCAGGAAGCTGGGGAAGTGAGGGTGGCTGTGGGGTTCCCCCAAGTCAGGAGAGACGTCAGGCTGTCTGGTCAGGAGGCTGCGTGGTCCTCCATTGATGGGCAGCTGAAATGATCTTGAGGAAGTGATGGGCTCAGGGATGTGACAGAGAAAGGGACATGAAGCAGGGGACAGACCAGCGGGACTAGTGTTTCTCAACAGCATAAACAGGAAGAGAAGACACTGGAGAGATGTGTTGACCCCTGGTGGTGACTTAAGGGCTCTGCACCCCTCTGATCCCTGACCACATAGAACAGGGAACAGGAGAGGGTAGGTTCTCTCTCCCATCAGCCACAGGTGGGACATCCTGTCTCCCTCCACAGCCCTGACCCCAATTCTAGAACGCGAGAGCCCTTGACCTCCACCCTTCTGCTACCTAGGGTCCTACTGCCTCTCCTCATGCCACGTGGGCTCTGAAAGGAGGCACTCTCCTCTCCCTCCATGAGCTGTGCTGGCTGGGGGCTGACACACTTCTGTGCAGGGCCCTGCGTGGTCTCAGAGCTCGTAGGCTGGGTTGGGGAGGAGGAGGAAATACCCAGGAAACTGCCAGACACTGGATTTTCTGCTGTACAGCAGACCTCATAAACCTCAGTGGATCTTCACTTCCTGGAGACTGGCCCCTCAGCGCAGATCATGCAAATTCATACAAAAGTAAAAAAAAAAATAATGCAGACACTGCCTTTGGTTCCTTCCCCACTGCTGTCACCCAACCACTCATTCTCCCTCACAACTGCTCTAGTCCACTCAGGAACCACCCTGAATGACACCCCTCTGCATCCCAGCACCCAGCACCTCTGGAACCTCCACACTTCTTTCCAATGAATCAAAGTCCACTTCCTCTGGATTGCAGGAGTTCTGAGGTTAAGAAGGCTTCCCCAAGATTTCAGAAGAAGGCCTGGGAGGCCAGGCAGTGTGCCCCTGAGAGGGCAGTGTGTGAAGCTGTGAGTGAGAAGCCTATTCAGTGGAAACCCCAGAAGTTTGGAAAAGCCAGGGACACAGATCATCTGAGGAAAACTGCAAGGAGGGAGCAAAGCCAGCCTAGGAGAGAAGCCACGGGAGCTACCAGCACAAGTGTTGTAGGGGCGGAGCCACATGGAGCTCACAATTTGCCACAGATTGCTTTGGATGTTCCACATGGAACTATAGGACTTACCGTTTGCCTTTCTGGATTTTGGACTTGTGGTGGTTC